GTAGATATTATTTCATCATTGGAATCACATTGTTAAATTGTCTTGCATAGAGTTGGAGTTATCACAAATCCTGAATTTGTTTTATTTAATTGATCATTTACGTATTGCTTTATCCACTTGTTTAAATCATTGCATACCAACCCCCCCATTTATGTGACCATTATTGTACCTTCCGCAAAAAGGTATAAACATTTGTTCCGTGTCTCTGTGGATCGACCCTACTTACCTTGTATTACATTTCTAGTACAAAGTAGTAGTGTTTAAGGAGTTATTTTACCCCTTTATTTGTTGGCTTTGACACGCTTAACAAATATTATGAGGAAGTGTACGGTCACGCCTTCGTCTTCCCGGGTTAATCCGTTGTGCCTGAAACATAAATCGATAAACGTAAGCTTGAAGGCTTAGTGAGTTACGCCCAAAATGCCAACCCCATAACATCCATAATCATATCATATAACTCACACTGAACACCCATTCATCCCGAGTCTACAATATGACTGGTTCGCCCACACCGGGCCTTCAGTCCACCTGGTCCACTCTCTGAGTCTACAGTATGACCAGATCGCCCGCACCAGGCCTTCATTTTGTCTGGCCCACTCTCCGAGCCTCAGCACGTTTGGACTACCCTTTCGGGGTCTTCAACCTATCCGGACCGCTCGCTGGGCCATCGGCTTGACAATGTGCCCTCCTGGGCCTGCAGTCTTTCCGATTCGCCATGGGTATATTGGCCTACAACACGAAGCAGGACCCGCCTCAACCCAACCCCCATAACAATCAAACAATCATGTTCACATAAATATTATACACTAGCATGTATACAACCGAACTAACTGATTACTAGCACAACAACCGTCCTATAACCAGGATACCGACCTAACCGGTCGGTAACATAACATCATCCCATATACCAGGATACTGACCTAAACCAGGTCACTAAACATAATACCATCCTAACTATCAGGATCCAGATCTAGCAGATCAATAATCATATCAAGCAAATACCCGGATACAAATCAGATAAAGGGCCGGCCTTGGTGCCTTAGACCCTGTTGATATAGTGAGGATAAGTCACCTTGCAATGCTGAACTAAACCACGAAATCACAATCTCGAAATACTGCCCCCAAACTCCAATACCTATATCCACCCATCATCCATTTCCATAAATACCCATTTACCAAATACCCTCAAAAGTCAAACATGGTTAACCCTAGTCAAAGTCCAAGTTAACAGTCAAGGTCAATAGTCCATGTTGACCCAACTCGTCGATTCCAACTACTAACTTATCGAGTTCCTCCAAAACTCAGAAAACCGTGAAATCCCTAAGTTAACTCGCAGAGTTTCCCCACCAACTCGGCGAGTGTTCTTACTGACTCGTCGAGTCCATCCAAAACCTTTATGGGTAATCTTCAACCGACTCTTCGAGTCAACCATGAAACTCATCGAGTCTCATTCAGTCCATCACTCATTCAGATGATTTTAAGTTGCTCCAAATCTCCAAACAGCAGATCTATGCTCCTAGGGTGTTGTTATCACATAAAGTTGCTAACTTTACATGTATGCAAGGTTCTATGAAGCTAAAACACTCATAACTAGCATTAGGAGAAGGTTTTGGTCATGAAGGTGGGCTAGGGCTTCATAAAGCTTAAGGCTTTATGTTCATAAGGCCTTAAGAAGTCAAGATCTGAAACTATGCCCTTGTGGCAAGCTCAAATCCGAGTGTGACCCCATCATGCCCTAGAAATGACAATTCTTTTTACCAAAAAGGGAGATCTAAGCAATGATATATAAAGGTAGTAGCTTTATAACTCAATCTTGTTGTCACAACACTGGAAAAGTTGGATCTACAAGCTCTCCCTTGTTCCAAGCTCTTATCTCCTTAAGAATGCTCCAATACACTCTCTTTTGGTTTCACACACTCAAGAATAAAGACTAGGTAGCTATCAGGGTTTCTTTGGATGTGAAGGTGACAAGGGAGGCTGAGGAGGAAAGTTAAGGATCTTTAAATAGGGTGCAAACCCTAAAAATCAGGGTTTTCGCTTTCCAGCACATACTCGTCGAGTTTGGTCCTCCAACTCATCGAGTAGGGTCTAAAATCCATGTGGCTGATTTGGTCACTACTTAACGAGTTGGCCTATCAACTCGTCGAGTCGCCTTTGAAACATGACTCTAGAACTTTAAATTGATATCGGGAAATCGGGACGCTACACTAATAAAACTATTTTTTTAATCAAGAGTATGTGCAAGGCTGTTTTTACCACTTTATTTATGAGTTTTATTAATTGTAATAATTTTCCATGTGATTTGCTTATGTTGTTTGCTAGTAGATCTCAACGTAGCAGAAGTCGTTAGGAGCTAGTTGGGATGTTTCATTTCTGAACAAGTATCATGGTCTCCTCACCCAAGAAAGCGGGCTTATTACAAACATTCTATTTATTCTTCTTTTCACACCAATAGGTATGTCAACGTAATGTCAAATATTTTGACTTTACAGTCCTTTTAGTTTACGAACCTGTCATCATAAATATAGGGAAATGAAGAGGTCATGGTTCGGGCCACAAAGAGGAAAGCTAGTGACCAAGTGTTGATTGTATATTTTAAGAGGCAATTGACAAGTATCATAAGATCATTCATGTGTGAAAAGAGTTTCACGTTGAAATGGATACACTACTTAAAGCCTCTGCTCCTCTTGTTGTTATAGGAGTGAACTACAATCACTCATATTGGTCACTAGCTTTCCTCTCTATGGCCAGAACCATGACCTCTTCATTTCCCTATATTAACGATGATAGGTTCGTAAACTAAAAGGACTGTAAAGTCAAAATATTTGACAAGTGTTGATTGTATATTTTAAGAGGCAATTGACAGGTATCTTAAAATCGTTCATGTGTAAAAAGAGTTTCACGTTGAAATGAATAAACTACTTAAAGCCTCTGCTCCTCTTGTTGCTATAGGAGTAAACTACAATCACTCGTATTTAACTGATACATCTTCGCTTGAAGATTAAAGTTAACTAATGCTCTAACCAACAACCACAACGTCAACAATTTTGTCCAAATGTTGGTGATGCTTAAGTCAAGTGTATTAATATTTGCACACAACAAAGTAAAAAAGTAGGAAAATCTTATCTAGATACAATGGTTGTGTTAGGCATAAGATCTTCAATTTCATGAAATATTAGAGATAACTTTTGTTGATGTAATATTTGTACCAATGATTAATGTACTTCCATTCCAAAAGAAGTTTTTATTTATTTTTTTATTTTTTTATACCGTGAACTCCTTATTAAAAGTAATAATAATTTGTGTTGTTAAATTTTATATTTCATTTATTGTGTTTTATATATATTTCATATATCTTATCTTAACCTACACATAACAATTATTACCCACACATATCAAATAGCACATGTCACCAACACTTTGTATGGGCTTGCCACATAATTTGACATGTCATCAGCCACATCGTTGACAACTCAAACAATTTTTATTATTTCTATATACACATACTTACTAGTTTTAGCCACATATGTATGTGTGGTATTAATTGTTCTATACTTACACATAATGAATGTATAGTTAATGATCTATATCTATAGGCATGAGTCTAACATATTGTGACAATTAATTTGTGTGTAGCTAAAGATAACTACCAACACATAGAGGTATTTTAGCCACACACACACACACACACACATATATATATATATATATATATATATATATATATATATATATATATACATGAGCTGTTCTACGGTCAACATCGTCCACCCTACCAGAATATAGCCAACTGAACAGGCAATCACCACAACACTACTGTATTGCCACTAGTATCAAACATCACCGAGCACCACCAACTATCGACTTTATTCATCATCATCTCCACAATCTAGGTTCTTCACAAAGTTGTTCTTCAATTTTAATTTCATATCTGTGTAAGAGAGGTGGGAGATGCACATAAGTGAGCTCAATGTTCTACAACTTCTCTATTTTTCGATTTTGAGATATAGAAGACACATTAGTAGATTTGTAGACTTGTGTATGGTTATTGATTTGGTTTCAAGAAGGTAAAGTGGCGGTGCAAGCACATAGTATGGGAAAATGCTGCATTTTGGTTTACTTTTTATGTAGAAAGTAAAGAGGTTGACCGATCGTATGAAATAAATAAAGATTAGGAGGGAATGAGGTGAGAGAGAGAGAGAGAGAGAGAGAGAGAGAGAGGATTTCCAGAAAAAAAAAAAAAGGGGGGGGGGGGGGGTGTTCTGGAATTAAGTAATGGAAGATCGGAGATGATGAGCCCAATTTATCGTTAACTATAAAACATAACTATTTATATAGTAAATAAACTAATTATATTATAGAAGGGTATAAAAGTTTATTTATGTGGGACAAGATAAGTACATAGGAATTGTATATAGGAATTGAAACCAAATAAGCATTCCATAAGACCGAAAGAAAAATGAGATGCTCAACTTGACATTCTCGAAAATCACATAACATGAGTATTTGTCTTTTAAAATTTGAAATGCTTAGATGATTACTAATAATATTAAAACCATACGGACCATTTTGAATTTTTAATCTTGGAAAAAAAAGTTTGTTGCTGAACCGGTGACTTTGTAAAGCATGATGACTATTTATGTAAGTTTGTGAAAATGTAAAATGGTTAAAGATGAAAAACCCCACCAAGAACAGCTTGTGGCTGAGAATGGGAGCCATTACATTCCCTCAATAAACTAGAGCCATGAATATACCGCAGCCCCTTCAAAAATCTCTGGTGGACCAGAGAACTCACAGCACGCAGATTACTGACCCTTAGATAAAACTAGAATGTTGTTATGCCAATCAAAATGAAGAACTGAAGATTGTATCTAGATAAGCATCGATCATATCTATCTGACCAAAAAACCACCTTATAAATAAACTTGCAGATCTCCCCATCTTCATAACTCAAACTCTCCTATATATCTCCACAACATCTTTCAACCAAATTTAACAGAATGGCAGCTTCCACTATGTCTGTATCTTCTTCATTCATCGGACAAGCAGTGAAAACAACACCATCTGGTTCAGAAATCACCGGAAATGGAAGGGTTTCCATGAGGAAGACAGCAGTCAAGAAAGTCGCACCATCAGGAAGCCCATGGTACGGCCCCGACCGTGTTAAGTACCTTGGCCCATTCTCCGGCGAAGCCCCATCTTACCTGACCGGTGAGTTCCCCGGTGACTACGGTTGGGACACTGCTGGGCTCTCTGCTGATCCTGAAACATTCGCCAAGAACCGTGAGCTTGAGGTCATCCACAGCAGATGGGCAATGCTCGGAGCTCTTGGGTGCGTCTTCCCTGAACTCTTGGCTCGTAATGGGGTCAAGTTTGGTGAGGCTGTATGGTTCAAGGCTGGATCCCAGATCTTTAGTGAGGGTGGTCTTGACTACTTGGGGAACCCAAGTTTGATCCATGCACAAAGCATTTTAGCCATCTGGGCTACCCAAGTGATCTTGATGGGTGCAGTTGAAGGTTACAGAATTGCTGGTGGACCTCTTGGTGAGGTAGTTGACCCACTTTACCCTGGTGGTAGCTTCGACCCATTGGGTCTGGCTGATGACCCAGAGGCATTTGCTGAGCTGAAAGTGAAGGAGCTCAAGAACGGTAGACTGGCCATGTTCTCTATGTTTGGATTCTTTGTTCAAGCCATTGTTACCGGAAAGGGACCATTGGAGAATCTTGCTGACCATCTTGCTGACCCTGTTGCAAACAATGCATGGTCATATGCTACAAACTTTGTACCTGGAAAGTGAGTTTTGTGAATTTGAGTGCGAGATAATATTTGATTGATGTCGAACTCTCTGTGAATTAATTTAGTAATATATGGTTTAATTTTCAATTTGGTGTTGATTTAGTTTCCTTTTTTGAGTGGGTTTTAATCTTTAATTGATTAATTATTTAGTCTGAGATTAAAATGTTAAATTTTATTTATTTACTGGTATAAAATATGAAAATATAATAATAATAAATATTTTTTAAAATGAAAATTTTAAATAATATTTATTACATTTTATACTTTATATATCTAATTATAAGATTATGTGGTTTTTTAATTTTAAAAATTAAAAAAAATATCATAAATTGACATGTGAATATTATTTATTTAAAAATATCACAAAATGACAAGTGTCAAAATTAATTAGAGATTGACATGTGAAAAAAAAAAAACTTTATTTATTAGAGAGAATGAGAAATTAATCGGTCAGATGTGGCTAAAACGGATCTGATTCGGTAAGATATGAGAAGAAGTCTGAATAAAAAAATTTACATCTTCTACCCTTGCCTTAACAACAAACTGCGGTCGATTCTTTTTTCTTCTCCTTTCTAGAGATCGAGCTTTCATCCCTCATTCTCCATCTTCTTTAAGCATTGACAACTTCCAATTTTTGTCCGTCGCCGCCTCCCCTTGCCTGCCTTCGACAACGCTCCTCCTTCTCCGCCTCCCCGTCGTCGGTAAGTTTTCAGGTATGGTTATTTTCTTGAATCTGGTGCTCAATCGTGTTATTGCTGATCAATTTTGTATGAAATTGGTGTCGATTGTGTTCTTGCTGCTCGATTTTGTATGAAATCAATTTTTGTGCTTTGTTCTTCTTGCTCTGTATATGTGTTCAGTTGATGCTGTTTTTGTCCTTTGGAAATCTCAAAAATAACAATTGTCTTGTGTTTTCTTGAAAATGTGTTTGTGTTTGCTTGAAATGTTATATCTGAAAATATGTGTTTGGTTATTTTTCAACTTGTTTAGTTGATATGTGATCCAGGAGCAAGATGAAGTTGCTAGTGGTGGAAGATATCCAACAAGAAAACAGGTTCGTCAATGTTTCAGAAGCAAGAATGCCTAATGATCCAAAAAAAAAAAACGAGTCCTCTTCAAAGAGATTGATGATGCAGAAACACATGAATCTGAATATCAAAAGCCAATTTGTTATAACCGATTTATTGGATATTGTATGATGTTTATTTTGTATTCAGAAAATAATTTAGAGGGCTAAAATGGTTATTTTTCTCATTAAGAGGCAGATATTCAGATGTCTAACCAAACATTATTTTATCATTCAGATACAGATTCCTAAAGAGCATCTTGATCATCCAGGCATCTATATCATTCAGATATGATTCATCAAGATGCTACCAAACAGTCCATTAATATTAGTAAAGGTTTTTTAAAATTGAAAGTGATGGCGAATTTCATATTTTGTTTCAAACATTTTAGGTTTTTTTTCATTGTAATATTTATTTGGAATCCTAATTTATATTAGGGAAAAGGGAATATACATTACAGCCCCACCTAAGCTTAGGTACTAAACCTCTTGAAAATACATTGTTTTACTATATAAAGATTACGGTTAATGGATTCACGGTTAATACTTCAATATGTAAATTCAAGATCGGCACAATAGGGTTTAGGGTTTAGGATTTAGGTTTAGGGTTTAGGGTTTAGGGTTTAGGTTTAGGGTTTAGATTTAGGGTTTAGGGTTTAAGTTTACGGTTTAGGGTTTACGGTTAGGGTTTAGGGTTTAAGTTTACGGTTTAGGGTTTAGGGTTAGGGTTTAGGGTTTAAGGTTTAGGGTTTAGAGATTAGATTTAGGGTTTAGGGTTTAGGTTTAGGGTTTAGGGTTTAAATTTAGGGTTTAGGTTTTAGGTTTAGGGTTTAGTAATGTTTACTTGGGTGGAGTAATAAACGATAATTAAGGAAAGAAAACAAAGATGGTAAAACAATAATGAAAGAAAGAAATGTTATGGAGGATGATATATTTACCAAGTGAAACCAAACTGGGTATATTTAACATATTAAAACGACATATTTTAGAGGTTTAGTACCTAAGCTTAGGTGGGCTATAATGTATATTCCCCATTCCCTTTATTTTATACTTATAATATGGATAAAAGGTTTTTTTATTTGACTGATTTTGAGTTTGATTCTTATTGCCATCAAGATTTGTGAGTTATATTTATATGTTGGTATTTTTAGATTGATATAATCGGATACGATCTTTTTTTTTTTATATATATATTAAATTTATTTGATTTGATTAGATATTTTTATATGTGTCTTTGATTTATTCAAATTAATAAATTTCAAACAAATCTCTAAGACAAAAGAAAAAAAATCATTCAAACAATTAATTGAGATTTAATGTTAACTTAAAATATCGATGTAAAATCGTCTTGAATAATAGAAATAACTGTAACACCTATAAAATTCAAGCCAAATTTAAACTTTTATAAACATTTCAAATGCCAATAATTATTACAAAAAGGTTTCCAAAATAGTTTCAGATCAGAGTATCCCAAAAAATCCAAAACATATTGGCGCCGTTGCCGGGGACACGGTGTTACTAATTGTTTATGCCAAGCTTTTTGTGAGCAGGTGCTTTAAAAAAAACAGTCAGGTAGAAGATAAGTTTTCAATTGAAGGAAGTGACGAGAAGGTTAATGTGTTATAAAGGCCCACCTACTTAGAACAAAGCACATTCAGGGGCCAAGTCGAGCCAACGACTTAAAACAAGGGCAGCTAACCGGGAGGCAACCCGGGGTTTTTTTTTTCCTTTCTGTTAAAACTTCTTAGTCTTTGGTAAATTTCAATTGTTTTTTTAATGTCCCAAATGGTTTTGAACTTATTTTTTATGCCTAGAAAATGAATCTCCGACTCCAAAAATACTTCACGGATAGCATGGGGAGGATGAAGAGGAGGTTCGCACCACAATTGTGAGGCACCAAGAACGATTTGGTAAATTCTTTCCATATCTTTAATCGTTCATATTTTACTTAAAATTCAATTTGTGTGCATTTGTGACTGTTTTGGACCCATTCCCAAATCAGCTACCATCCTTCACCATTTGATTCTCAATAGGCCGACTATACCTCTCTGCAAGCATCGAGGACGATGCTTATTTTAAGCTTAGGGAGGGGCATCTATCCATGCATTATCCCGTTGCATGTAGGTTGCATGTAAATTTTGTACATATTGCATTGCATTGCATTATTTTTCTTTGTCATTTTTTAGAAAAAATTTCAAAAACCAAAAAGATTTTCTTTCTACTCTATTTTTATTATACTTTTTGCATTTTGCATCTAAATTTTTGCATTTTCATTTAACTTGAAAAAAAAAAAAAAGTAAAATTTTTTTATCCAATTTCAAGCAGCCAAATCTTCTCAAAACAGTTGAGATGGTAAGTGAGTTGTGTGCCTTGAGATTTTACTTGCTATTTTTATTAAAAAAAAAAATCTAAAAGCAAGTTAATCACACACGAACACACCTCCCGAAGCTACTTGTGCAAAAAGAAAATGAGAAGATTGTCAACACTGGAGCATAATAGTAGGTATGAGTCAATTCTTTAGGACATATGACCGGTCTTATGAGTAGTAATGCTCAATTGAACTTAAAATGCCAAATTCAAAAGTTTATAAAAAGAATGTGAAATCTTAATGTCCCGCCTTCCAGCGCTCTTAAAAGTCCTTTCTACTCATTCCCTTTTATATACCCTGCTTGGGGACACAACTTTCAACTATACTTACGGGTCTTTGCATGTTAACCTTTAGTCCCCTGAAAAATGTCTTAGAAGTCCTCACAGTAATAGACCGTGAGATGTCCCACAATAGAAAAGTCAAGGACGGAAATATAAAGAAATTGGCCAAATAAATAAATTAATAAGAGTGTTATGTGTTAACTTAGTTATTTGTATATGTGTTACATTAAAAAAAAAAAAAAAAAAAAAAAAAAAAAACTATTATTAAGTTAATCTGTGACCTTTGGGATTCGAACAAGTAAACTCTGAGGGGTGTTTTACACCTAATCGCCTAAAGCTAAATTGTTTGGGACTGATTGAGTTGAAAGTTCGCTATATGGGTTCCATAGAAAGTCATGAACTTAATAATAGCAAATAAAGCTAATCTGTGGCCTTTGAGGTTCGGGCAAGTAAACCCGAGGGATCTCTTTAAATCTAGCACACTAATGTCATTTGATTTGGATGTGTTGGTTGAAAGCCTGCTACACGAATTTCAAAGAAAGCCATGAGCTTTATTTATAAAAAAATGTAATTAGAAAGTTTGTATATAGTTGTGTTTATAGTTTAACTAATATTATGTTTAGGAAAAATATTTGGCTGCCAAAAGATTCCCTTGGACTTGGATTTGAACTTATGACAGTAGGACTGAATGTTAATTACTTTGACTGGAGTAAGTGGTTTGAATCTTGTAACCAATTTGGGTAAATATTAGGGAATTTTTAGAAAAGATTTTTCGAAAAAAGATTGTTGTTGACTAACAAATAGCTGGAATCGGACATTCTTATATTTTATGAAACAAAGATGGTTGAGCATGTTTTGTCACATATAATTTCACGAGAGTAAGACCATAATTTGTTCCAAGAATTGACTTGATGATATCGAAAAGGAATAAGTGTTGTGATCTTTGATTCTGTTGAGTTGTACTAGGGAGTGGCTAAAATCTTGTCTCTATTATCATATAATATTTCGAGATTAAAGCCAAGTTAACTCAAGGCATGACAGGTATATTCTCAACTATGGTACAAAACAGGGTTAATTGGGTTGGATATATTTTTTCATGTTTGTTTTGATTTCTTGCATCAAGTTTAAAAAAAAAAAAAAAGTTTAACTTTGATTTTCTTTTCTTCTCTTTTATTTTACTTTCTCCGGTTTAATTTTTCTTGTTCTTTCTTGAGGACAAGAAAGGTTTAAGCTTGGGGAGATTTGTTAGGTGCATTTGATGTACCCATTTTGTAGCTTTATTTCATAAAAGTACATTGCATATAGGCTTAAACTCATGCATTTTGCATGTTTTTTCGGGATTTTTCATGATGCAATTTCATTCAAATATTTTTGTGATATTTTAGGAACTTTTGGAGGTAGGATATTGTTGGAGGTAAATAAAAGTTGCGGACAAAATTTTAGGACTTGCAGAGCACCGAGGAGCAAGATATCAAAGAAATGAGGATTTTGGCTTTACAGACGTTTACACGGCCGTGTAAATGGAAGCATTGCGTTTACGCGGGCCGTGTAAACGTAGATTTCTGCGCAGTATATTTTTGCGTTTACGCGGGCCGTGTAAATGACAGTGTTAATTTACGTGGGCCGTGTAAACGTAAATGCGGGTTTTAAAGCAGTTTTTCACCATTTTTAAAGGGGGGAACCGATTTTTTTCTTAAGGGGGTCGAATTTTGGAGTAGAGAAGGCGATTTCTTGAGGATTTTGGAGTTGATTAACAATTGGGAACATTTGATTTCATCTTGTAAGAACTTTAATTTCATTTTCTAGATTTGTGATCTTGTTCTAGTCATGAGTGGCTAGAACCCTAGTTTCTCCAACTTTATGTCTTGACTTTTTAGTTGTGATTTCAATCATGTGATTTGATGTTTACTTCCAATTCCTACCTAGTGAATTTGATTTTGTTTCAATTGAATGTTTGATTCTAATTTTAATTCTTATTGGCCATTTGAATTAGGGTTAGGTCATTCAAGTTATCTAATTGCAAAATCCGTAATTATTTTGTGAATTGGACTAAGTAACAAACACTAAATTGATTTCCATTGAATGAATTTAGTGTAAATCTTATTCACATACTCTTAAACTCCCAACTTGTGAGGAGTATTGGGTGTTGTTGGGAATATTCACATAAATCTTATTGCAACCTTTTGATTTTTATCTAAGAGCTTGTTTAGACTTAAATTAGAAGGTTAGGTTATTTTCAAAGAGCTTGTTTTGAATTTGACAACTTGGTGAATGGGAAGTGTTAGAACTTGTTAACACTTTCAAGTACCAACTTAGGTGAAATTGAGTAGATATTATTTCATCATTGGAATCACATTGTTAAATTGTCTTGCATAGAGTTGGAGTTATCACAAATCCTGAATTTGTTTTATTTAATTGATCATTTACGTATTGCTTTATCCACTTGTTTAAATCATTGCATACCAACCCCCCCATTTATGTGACCATTATTGTACATTCCGCAAAAAGGTATAAACATTTGTTCCGTGTCTCTGTGGATCGACCCTACTTACCTTGTATTACATTTCTAGTACAAAGTAGTAGTGTTTAAGGAGTTATTTTACCCTTTATTTGTTGGCTTTGACACGCTTAACAAATATTATGAGGAAGTGTACGGTCACGCCTTCGTCTTCCCGGGTTAATCCGTTGTGCCTGAAACATAAATCGATAAACGTAAGCTTGAAGGCTTAGTGAGTTACGCCCAAAATGCCAACCCCATAACATCCATAATCATATCATATAACTCACACTGAACACCCATTCATCCCGAGTCTACAATATGACTGGTTCGCCCACACCGGGCCTTCAGTCCACCTGGTCCACTCTCTGAGTCTACAGTATGACCAGATCGCCCGCACCAGGCCTTCATTTTGTCTGGCCCACTCTCCGAGCCTCAGCACGTTTGGACTACCCTTTCGGGGTCTTCAACCTATCCGGACCGCTCGCTGGGCCATCGGCTTGACAATGTGCCCTCCTGGGCCTGCAGTCTTTCCGATTCGCCATGGGTATATTGGCCTACAACACGAAGCAGGACCCGCCTCAACCCAACCCCCATAACAATCAAACAATCATGTTCACATAAATATTATACACTAGCATGTATACAACCGAACTAACTGATTACTAGCACAACAACCGTCCTATAACCAGGATACCGACCTAACCGGTCGGTAACATAACATCATCCCATATACCAGGATACTGACCTAAACCAGGTCACTAAACATAATACCATCCTAACTATCAGGATCCAGATCTAGCAGATCAATAATCATATCAAGCAAATACCCGGATACAAATCAGATAAAGGGCCGGCCTTGGTGCCTTAGACCCTGTTGATATAGTGAGGATAAGTCACCTTGCAATGCTGAACTAAACCACGAAATCACAATCTCGAAATACTGCCCCCAAACTCCAATACCTATATCCACCCATCATCCATTTCCATAAATACCCATTTACCAAATACCCTCAAAAGTCAAACATGGTTAACCCTAGTCAAAGTCCAAGTTAACAGTCAAGGTCAATAGTCCATGTTGACCCAACTCGTCGATTCCAACTACTAACTTATCGAGTTCCTCCAAAACTCAGAAAACCGTGAAATCCCTAAGTTAACTCGCAGAGTTTCCCCACCAACTCGGCGAGTGTTCTTACTGACTCGTCGAGTCCATCCAAAACCTTTATGGGTAATCTTCAACCGACTCTTCGAGTCAACCATGAAACTCATCGAGTCTCATTCAGTCCATCACTCATTCAGATGATTTTAAGTTGCTCCAAATCTCCAAACAGCAGATCTATGCTCCTAGGGTGTTGTTATCACATAAAGTTGCTAACTTTACATGTATGCAAGGTTCTATGAAGCTAAAACACTCATAACTAGCATTAGGAGAAGGTTTTGGTCATGAAGGTGGGCTAGGGCTTCATAAAGCTTAAGGCTTTATGTTCATAAGGCCTTAAGAAGTCAAGATCTGAAACTATGCCCTTGTGGCAAGCTCAAATCCGAGTGTGACCCCATCATGCCCTAGAAATGACAATTCTTTTTACCAAAAAGGGAGATCTAAGCAATGATATATAAAGGTAGTAGCTTTATAACTCAATCTTGTTGTCACAACACTGGAAAAGTTGGATCTACAAGCTCTCCCTTGTTCCAAGCTCTTATCTCCTTAAGAATGCTCCAATACACTCTCTTTTGGTTTCACACACTCAAGAATAAAGACTAGGTAGCTATCAGGGTTTCTTTGGATGTGAAGGTGACAAGGGAGGCTGAGGAGGAAAGTTAAGGATCTTTAAATAGGGTGCAAACCCTAAAAATCAGGGTTTTCGCTTTCCAGCACATACTCGTCGAGTTTGGTCCTCCAACTCATCGAGTAGGGTCTAAAATCCATGTGGCTGATTTGGTCACTACTTAACGAGTTGGCCTATCAACTCGTCGAGTCGCCTTTGAAACATGACTCTAGAACTTTAAATTGATATCGGGAAATCGGGACGCTACACTAATAAAACTATTTTTTTAATCAAGAGTATGTGCAAGGCTGTTTTTACCACTTTATTTATGAGTTTTATTAATTGTAATAATTTTCCATGTGATTTGCTTATGTTGTTTGCTAGTAGATCTCAACGTAGCAGAAGTCGTTAGGAGCTAGTTGGGATGTTTCATTTCTGAACAAGTATCATGGTCTCCTCACCCAAGAAAGCGGGCTTATTACAAACATTCTATTTATTCTTCTTTTCACACCAATAGGTATGTCAACGTAATGTCAAATATTTTGACTTTACAGTCCTTTTAGTTTACGAACCTGTCATCATAAATATAGGGAAATGAAGAGGTCATGGTTCGGGCCACAAAGAGGAAAGCTAGTGACCAAGTGTTGATTGTATATTTTAAGAGGCAATTGACAAGTATCATAAGATCATTCATGTGTGAAAAGAGTTTCACGTTGAAATGGATACACTACTTAAAGCCTCTGCTCCTCTTGTTGTTATAGGAGTGAACTACAATCACTCATATTGGTCACTAGCTTTCCTCTCTATGGCCAGAACCATGACCTCTTCATTTCCCTATATTAACGATGATAGGTTCGTAAACTAAAAGGACTGTAAAGTCAAAATATTTGACAAGTGTTGATTGTATATTTTAAGAGGCAATTGACAGGTATCTTAAAATCGTTCATGTGTAAAAAGAGTTTCACGTTGAAATGAATAAACTACTTAAAGCCTCTGCTCCTCTTGTTGCTATAGGAGTAAACTACAATCACTCGTATTTAACTGATACATCTTCGCTTGAAGATTAAAGTTAACTAATGCTCTAACCAACAACCACAACGTCAACAATTTTGTCCAAATGTTGGTGATGCTTAAGTCAAGTGTATTAATATTTGCACACAACAAAGTAAAAAAGTAGGAAAATCTTATCTAGATACAATGGTTGTGTTAGGCATAAGATCTTCAATTTCATGAAATATTAGAGATAACTTTTGTTGATGTAATATTTGTACCAATGATTAATGTACTTCCATTCCAAAAGAAGTTTTTATTTATTTTTTTATTTTTTTATACCGTGAACTCCTTATTAAAAGTAATAATAATTTGTGTTGTTAAATTTTATATTTCATTTATTGTGTTTTATATATATTTCATATATCTTATCTTAACCTACACATAACAATTATTACCCACACATATCAAATAGCACATGTCACCAACACTTTGTATGGGCTTGCCACATAATTTGACATGTCATCAGCCACATCGTTGACAACTCAAACAATTTTTATTATTTCTATATACACATACTTACTAGTTTTAGCCACATATGTATGTGTGGTATTAATTGTTCTATACTTACACATAATGAATGTATAGTTAATGATCTATATCTATAGGCATGAGTCTAACATATTGTGACAATTAATTTGTGTGTAGCTAAAGATAACTACCAACACATAGAGGTATTTTAGCCACACACACACACACACACATATATATATATATATATATATATATATATATATATATATATACATGAGCTGTTCTACGGTCAACATCGTCCACCCTACCAGAATATAGCCAACTGAACAGGCAATCACCACAACACTACTGTATTGCCACTAGTATCAAACATCACCGAGCACCACCAACTATCGACTTTATTCATCATCATCTCCACAATCTAGGTTCTTCACAAAGTTGTTCTTCAATTTTAATTTCATATCTGTGTAAGAGAGGTGGGAGATGCACATAAGTGAGCTCAATGTTCTACAACTTCTCTATTTTTCGATTTTGAGATATAGAAGACACATTAGTAGATTTGTAGACTTGTGTATGGTTATTGATTTGGTTTCAAGAAGGTAAAGTGGCGGTGCAAGCACATAGTATGGGAAAATGCTGCATTTTGGTTTACTTTTTATGTAGAAAGTAAAGAGGTTGACCGATCGTATGAAATAAATAAAGATTAGGAGGGAATGATGGGGGGGGGGGTGGGTGAGTGAGAGAGAGAGAGAGAGAGAGAGAGAGAGGATTTCCAGAAAAAAAAAAAAAAGGGGGGGGGGGGGGGGTGTTCTGGAATTAAGTAATGGAAGATCGGAGATGATGAGCCCAATTTATCGTTAACTATAAAACATAACTATTTATATAGTAAATAAACTAATTATATTATAGAAGGGTATAAAAGTTTATTTATGTGGGACAAGATAAGTACATAGGAATTGTATATAGGAATTGAAACCAAATAAGCATTCCATAAGACCGAAAGAAAAATGAGATGCTCAACTTGACATTCTCGAAAATCACATAACATGAGTATTTGTCTTTTAAAATTTGAAATGCTTAGATGATTACTAATAATATTAAAACCATACGGACCATTTTGAATTTTTAATCTTGGAAAAAAAAGTTTGTTGCTGAACCGGTGACTTTGTAAAGCATGATCACTATTTATGTAACTTTGTGAAAATGTAAAATGGTTAAAGATGAAAAACCCCACCAAAGAACAGCTTGTGGCTGAGAATGGGAGCCATTACATTCCCTCAATAAACTAGAGCCATGAATATACCGCAGCCCCTTCAAAAATCTCTGGTGGACCAGAGAACTCACAGCACGCAGATTACTGTCCCTTAGATGAAACTAGAATGTTGTTATGCCAATCAAAATGAAGAACTGAAGATTGTATCTAGATAAGCATCGATCATATCTATCTGACCAAAAAACCACCTTATAAATAAACTTGCAGATCTCCCCATCTTCATAACTCAAACTCTCCTATATATCTCCACAACATCTTTCAACCAAATTTAACAGAATGGCAGCTTCCACTATGTCTGTATCTTCTTCATTCATCGGACAAGCAGTGAAAACAACACCATCTGGTTCAGAAATCACCGGAAATGGAAGGGTTTCCATGAGGAAGACAGCAGTCAAGAAAGTCGCACCATCAGGAAGCCCATGGTACGGCCCCGACCGTGTTAAGTACCTTGGCCCATTCTCCGGCGAAGCCCCATCTTACCTGACCGGTGAGTTCCCCGGTGACTACGGTTGGGACACTGCTGGGCTCTCTGCTGATCCTGAAACATTCGCCAAGAACCGTGAGCTTGAGGTCATCCACAGCAGATGGGCAATGCTCGGAGCTCTTGGGTGCGTCTTCCCTGAACTCTTGGCTCGTAATGGGGTCAAGTTTGGTGAGGCTGTATGGTTCAAGGCTGGATCCCAGATCTTTAGTGAGGGTGGTCTTGACTACTTGGGGAACCCAAGTTTGATCCATGCACAAAGCATTTTAGCCATCTGGGCTACCCAAGTGATCTTGATGGGTGCAGTTGAAGGTTACAGAATTGCTGGTGGACCTCTTGGTGAGGTAGTTGACCCACTTTACCCTGGTGGTAGCTTCGACCCATTGGGTCTGGCTGATGACCCAGAGGCATTTGCTGAGCTGAAAGTGAAGGAGCTCAAGAATGGTAGACTGGCCATGTTCTCCATGTTTGGATTCTTTGTTCAAGCCATTGTTACCGGAAAGGGACCGTTGGAGAACCTCGCTGACCACCTTGCTGACCCTGTTGCAAACAATGCGTGGTCATATGCTACAAACTTTGTACCTGGAAAGTGAGTTTTATGAGTATGGGTTCGTGACATGAATTTCTTTTGATGGCATATTGTTTGTGAATTAATTTAGTAATATATGGTTTAAAGTTTTGGCATTAATTTGGTGTTGATTTTTATTTTTTTCTTTTTAGCGGCGTTTAATCATTGATTGATTAAATTCGTGAGGTGCAAAGTTTACTTTTAGATATATCTTGAATAAAATATTTCTTTAACTCGTAAGTGAAGGATGGAGCATTTTGAGAAGAAAAAAAATGCAAACAACGAAATTGATGCATTGTAATCTTAGTTTTTACTTTAGTCATTCTCATATATATTTTTTTCTTTTTGGAACCGCAAAATTTTATTAAAAAGCAAAAACTAGCAAGAAGCTAGCATGAAATTATATCAAAAAAGTAGCTAAAGTGGGAATATGAAGCCACTCGGTTCAACTTAAGTTTACCCTACTACATCTATTAGAAAAAGAAAAAAAAAAAAATTCTTAACAACTCCATCAAAAATAACCGACTTCTTTGGTAAAACCATTCTAAAAATAGAAGTATTACAAAAATTTCATAAACACCATAAGGAACTAATAATGACCACATCAAACGCCTTTCTTTGACCTCTACACAGATTTACATACTCCGCCAAATGATTAAAAACTGCATCGAGATCTGAGATGGGAGAGATAAACCCCACCAAATAGCAACCCTACCCCAAATATCTCTTAAGTCACGCCACTCGATAAAAATATGATCAATAGTCTCAGCTGCAACCATACAAATTGGGCACATGATGGAAGGGACCATAACACCCCTAATCGATAATCTCTTCCTCGTTGGAATACTAGAAAGTTGAATCATCCATATTAGAATATTAAGATTAATAGGAACCCAATTATTCCTCTGTGTACCCCTATCCCCCGAAGCAACCAAACCACTATCCTACGCATACCGCATAACACAACAGAGAAAGATTCAGAACTATCAAGAGACCAACCCAGTCTATCCGGACCTGGTGAAGCTGAACACCCTGCATCCCCTCCAAAAAAGAAAGCCATTGAGTTTCTTCAATTCCACCTCTAGGCATACGTCTAAGATCATCCGTGTTCCAACCAATTAAAAAACGATCCCTAACATTGGCTGAGTGGTTCATATCCAAAGCAAAAACTCTATGAAAAGAAATCGAAAGAGGATTATTGCCTTGCCAATTATCATGCCAAAAAGAAGTATAGGCCTGATCACCAATTCTAATAGGAGCTAAGTTATGGAAGTCAAAGCCCTGAACTTTAAGATTATCTACAATCCTCGTAATACCATTCCAAGGACCCTTCAACTGTCTCCTTGGAATCAAAGAATTAGTAATCTCTCCCAATCCATAAATTCTTTTGACCACTCTCACCCATAATAAATTTGGGTCATGAAAAAATCTCCACTTTCAACGTAATAATAGAGCCCTGTTAAAGGCAAAAAGACTACCAATCCCCAAACCTCCAACTTCTTTAGGGGCCATAATTTTATCCCACCTAACCCAATGCATACAGCCCTGTTAAAGGCAAAAAGACTACCAATCCCCAAACCTCCAACTTCTTTAGGGGCCATAATTTTATCCCACCTAACCCAATGCATACGACGATCATCCAAATTAGCACCCAAAAAAAAATACTGATCTCAATCTCCAAATCCTTTATCACTGTAAGAGGCACGGGATAAATGGACATTAAGTAACCGGCAATCGAACCCAAAACTGCTTTAACTAGAGTCATCCGTCTCCCCAAAAAGAGACATTTTGCTTTACAAATGGACAATCTTTTTCGGAAAGAATCAACAATGGGAACCCCCAAGTGAATAAAAGGAAAAGAGCCCAGAGAACACCCCCATAAACATGATTAGCTATGACCCCTACTCTATACAACTTACTTTTAGGAATATTTATTTTCAAACCCGATGCTAAAAAGAAACATCTAAGAATTCGAACAATATGGAGAGCATTCTCCTAGTTTCATTCAGTTAAGAGAACAACATCATCAGCATAAAGAAGATGGGAAATTGTAATTCCTCCAATTTTGATTCCCTTGAATTCATTAGCTAACTGGGCCCTAGTCAGGGCCACATGCAAACCCTCCATGGCCAACACAAAAAGAAAATGGGATAGGGGATCCCCCTATCTCAGACCTCTGAACATATGAAACTCCCAGGAAGGAGAACCATTCACCAGGACCGAGAGAGTAGCAGAAGACAACATCTCCAAAATCCAATTACACCACAGAGAGCTAAACCCCATAATTTGCATAATTTCTAGCAAGTATTCTCATGATAAAGAATCATAAGCTTTTTCAAAATCCACTTTGAAGAGAAAAAGATGATTTTTAGAATCATAAGGTTTTTCAAAATCCCATGATAAAGAATCATAATTTCTAGCAAGTCACTCTCATATTGATTTTGATGCACACTCTCTTCAACACACTATTCACATTTAGGCTACTGGATTAACATCATTATTTTTTTAACAATTTTTTAAAACATAATTTTATATTAAATAAAAAATAAAGATTACATAAAAAGAAACTAAACCATAACAACTTAAAAAGTTAAAAACTTAAAACTCGAACATAAATATTTATAACTAGTAACATTTAATAGAAATATTTTTCCAAAAATTGATCTTCCATTTACCGTTCAAATTTGTTCCGTCAAATTGCAAAGAAGATCATCATAATTTTTTTTAAACAGCAAATCTAATCTAATATTATCTAATCCTAAAATACTCATGATTCCACATATGTCTCAGACAAGACTTGAACTATCAACCTGAAGGATGAAGAACAACACATGATACATTGGCCATGATGGATTTATACAACATTTATTATCGCTCTTAATGTCATGAACTCCTTGCCACCATTTTTGGTTGGTGTGGTTTAAATTGGTATTTAGGTTTAACATTTGTCTTTATAAGAATACAAGTTTTAGTGGCGACACATTTAGCTGCAACAATCACCATTACCGGCGACACCCGACATTAAGATTAGGTGATCATTGTTAATGGTGGTTGTCGTCGCTAGAAGCCCACGACCCCGATCTGTGTCAAAATCCAAGCTTAAACCTGATCTGTCGATTTTGCCTGAAAACGATTTTGTATATAACAATAGCGGTGACACCAAAACTGACATCGTTGTCGCCGCTAATACTAAAAAAAAATCCACCAATTATTCCTTCTAAAGTGTGCCACTACAAATGCATTTTGCATCGCTGCAAATGCCTTTCGTCACAACTATAGTGCAACAACCTGTTATTTCAAATCAATGTAATAGTTTAGATTACCTTGTAACTAGTTTTTAAAGTAATAAAAATAGAAATTTATTTGAGATGAAAAGTAGCGCCAAATATAAATTGTTCAAAATCTTTATTGGGATTAATAAATTGGTAGATATCGTAACAATTTTTCCGAAGATATAAAGAACACTGAAATCCATGTCATAACGAAGAAGTTATGACCAATCAAAGATCCGCAACAAAACCGACAAAACACCGTTTAGCGTAAAAAGTGAGTTTTCAATAACATGCTTTTTAGCCCTAACTCTCTAAATTAAAGTTGTAGTATACGTTAAACCGAGAGTGTCCATAAAAAGAACGTCCGAATCTTACTTCGTATGATGAAGTTATGATTTTTCTAAGATTTGACTTAGTAGTACACAACCCGAAATTCAAAATAAAGATCGGACGATTTTTAGCCGACACGACCTAAACGAGAATCGAATGTCTCGTCAATAGTAGTACAATGGTAAAAAGACAGACGAAAACGGATGCCGGATAAACAAGTTATGAATTTTTAACAGACTGTTTCTATCCTGGCATGTTAAAAATATAACTTTAAAACTAAATTCAAAATTAGTCGATAGAATCCAAACAAAAGTTGTAGATCATGGTCTCACCTACGTGTGGATATAATGAACGTCAAAAATAGAGCTCGTATGCGAAAGTTACGAATTTTTGAAGTTTCAAAAATTGAAGTATGCCCCGCTTACAAGTAGTATGGCCAGCGTACTCGAAAACTAGGCCTCAGATTGCCACGTCACCCTTACCCTCGTATGCAACACGTGTCAGACACGTCGAGACTTCGGATATCGATCAAAGGGACTACGCCCCGCGTACGAGACATACGACCAACGTACTACTGCTCACATTAGTACGCCCAACATACAAGAAGATTACGCCCAGCATAATCATACTAGCCTTGACGCTTATCGCGTAGCCTTGCCACGACCGAAGTTCAGATAAGACTCAAACTAGTACGTCCCGCGTACGAGAAGTACGCCTAGAGTACGGTGGTTTTCATTAGTACGCCCAACGTACAACATTATTACGCCCATCGTAATACTGGACCTCAACTTCCTATAAATAGGATGTGAGGCCTCCAGGTTTGGTTTAACATTTTCAAAACCTCTCTCCTCTTAAACACCCTTTCAAGCCACTTTTAACCCCCTAAAGCCTAGATTACACCCCTAACACCCGAAGAAAGCCAGGAGTCCCGAAGCCCTTGAGAAAATAAGCTTTTCCAATCGAAACTTTGTCCGCCTGAAACTCGACTTTTCATTAAAAACTCTAAGTTTCATCAAGAAAAATCCCTCCTAAAAACGAAACGTTAACCGAATCACCACTCATCAAGTGAGTTCATACCCTTACACTTTTTATAACTTTTTCAATGTTTTAAAGGCGGAAAAACAAGTAAAACACTATGACATTATTGTTAAAATACAAATCCTTGTTTATGTTTTCTTTCAGTTTTTATAACTTTTACGTGAAAACATATGCATATGAAACATATATTGTAAACTATAAGTAAATATAGTTTGGGTTACATTCTCATTATGTTTTACTCTTTTAGGACAAACAAAACAGATATATAAAAATATGATTTTTTTTATATGTTATAAACATTACGAAAAGAGTAACAATTTCATATATGAATATTCTCATATACAAACATGTATTTCGTTGGGAATTTGTGAGTCATTCGTCTTTA